GGAAGGGGGGTACGTGCGGGCGGGGGGGGGGGGGGGGGGGCTTTTTATACAGTCTAGCAATGTCCTGCCTCTTGCTTCTCCTTCGCGCTTTAGTGGAGCCTTGAACCTCAGCGGTTCGCTTTGCTCGGTGACCTTCCTATCCGGCAATTCTCCGGAGCAAAGCGCTCCCGACCCGGGGGGCTGAATTCTCTCCGAATTCCAACAGAGGGAGACAAATGGTTCGTTTTTTACCCTGGTATTTTGGGTGGGCTCCGCTGTTGCTCCCTGCTAGAAGCAAAGCTGCCCCCTTCCCTTGAAAAAAACAACGCTTATGTTGCACGAAATGACCACTCGCTACCGGCTTACAAGCTGCCTTGTTCGTAAAACCGAATCGTGCTGCGGATCGGGCGGTTCACGGTCCTCACTTTGGACAATTAAATAATCGAGTCGCTAGCGGCGAGGCCTTTCGCCTTTTCCGGAACAGGTTCCATCGTGCTAGACCGTCGCAATCACCCCGGAAGATAGTCGACCATTCTAGTAGCGAGCGGTTCCGTGTAAACGCAAACCCGCCAAATACGGTGCATGCCAACGAAAGGTGTTGCAGGCGGTGTGAAGAAGAAAACGCTCTGCAGAGAGCAGCTGTCCGAAAGCTGAATAAATCGGTCCGCTGTACTGCCAGCTGCCCTCCGAGATGCCCTGAGAGGTTAAAATCGTAATATAAATCCGAGGGAAACATTCTCTTTCTCAAATCTTCTCAGGTCTGCTGGATTTTACGCTTCGCTTTGTGTTTAGCGTAGCCTGCGCCTATCGAATAGCGACCGTCACTGTGTAAAACTCCTATGGGAAGCTACTTTGCTAATGTGATTTTTTTTTTTACTTTCAAATCCTCGAATTAAATGTTTACACTGAACTCAGTTGGATTAAAATGCCTTGGAAACCAAACCGGATTGGTTGCTTCAGTTTATTTCGTCCCATTCGGATTAATCCCCCCCCCCCCACACACACACACTTTTAATCCCAAACCGGCATGGGATTCAGCGGCCAATATTTACTCTCCCAATCTGTGTCCACAACTTTTTATTTTTAGCGAGAGGAAATATACCTATATCCCACCGTGTCCGTGCGAATCGTTCTTTCTCTGCGCGTGCATTGGCATTAGACGCGCGACATCGAGAGCCAAAGTTTCTCTTTCCTCCATCTGCGCGCTGTGCGGTTTTTAATTTTTATTTTTCATTGATCTGAAAGCTCCGATCGTGCATTCGTAATTTATGACTCCCCCTCGTACTAATTGACATATTAATATATGCTGCTCACTAGCTAACGATTCGTTTTGGGCAAGCGAGTCAAGGTAAAAGGGTCAGAGAAAGGCTGTCAACTTGCTCCGTTTTGATCTTTTCCATCTGTGAGCCGTTGCAGGCAAAATAACTGCATCTGCTCCACACGGTCCCTGACAAATGGCACTCGCTGTTTGGTTAGTGACCCTATTAAAAGCGCGCCGGAGGTGCGTGCGAGGAGTAACCAGCAAAATGCAGGACTATGTAGCACTTTAAAGACTAACAAGATGGTTTATTAGATGATGAGCTTTCGTGGGCCAGACCCACTTCCTCAGATCAATACGTGGAAGAAAGTAGTCACAACCATATATACCAAAGGATACAATTAAAAAAATGAACAAATATGAAAAGGACAAATCACATTGCAGAACAGAAGTTTACCACCCAAACTTAAAAATTGACTTGCCTCCTCTTTACTGAGGATGCCACCTGGGATGCCCCCCCGCCGGCTTCCCCGGAGGCTTTGAAAGCCGCGGAGGGGCTCCGGCGGGGGAGCAGCCCAGGCGCGCCTGGGATGCCCCCCCCCCGCCGGCTTCCCCCGAGGCTTTGAGGATCCTACTTCTACTTCGCGGATTTTCATCTATCGCGGTAGGGTTTGGAACCTATCTACCGCGATAAACGAGGGTTCACTGTAACCAGCAAAATGCAGGACTATGTAGCACTTTAAAGACTAACAAGATGGTTTATTAGATGATGAGCTTTCGTGGGCCAGACCCACTTCCTCAGATCAATACGTGGAAGAAAGTAGTCACAACCATATATACCAAAGGATACAATTAAAAAAATGAACAAATATGAAAAGGACAAATCACATTGCAGAACAGAAGGGGGATGGGGGGCGGGAGGGGGAGGAAGGAAGGTAAGTGTCTGTGAATTGATGATATTAAAGGTAGGGAGAGTGGGATGTTTGTGAGTTAATGGTATTACAGGTGATAATTGGGGAAACTGGAGTAACCAGGACTCTGGAAAGCGTGTTAAATTCCCTACGAATTATAGATTTAGAACGTGCCAACACCCTTATGTTACGTCACCGCTAATGATCCTGCTTAGCCTCTGTATTCGGAGTCAAACCGGATTTATTGGCCCCTAAGAATCATACTGGGGGAAAAAAGAATCATAGACCAGGATCCTGTTTGCAAGCCCTTCCCAATGCTAAAGAAACAGCCCTGTAATAAACATTGGAACACAGCGTAGTAATTAATCTGCTTTTGGAGATTTCACTTTGGCATCTCCCAGTCTAATAGGCTGTGGGTTTCTTCGGAGGTTTTAAAGCTCAGCTGAAAACGGCCACATTTGGATACACCTTTCTGGAAAAAGTTCTCTCTCATTTCCCCATTTAACCACGCGGGATCGGGCCCATTTTAAATACAGCCCCAGAAAAGACCGGGTTTGCTCTCCGAGCGCCTGGAAATGTTGCAAAGCTGGGTTCTGATTCGATTCCTCCGCATTCGAACGTCACCACATGGATTGTGGCTACCCGGGCTCCTTTCACGGACCCGGACAAAATTCTCCCTGCTCCCGAACTGCTGTTTCAAAGGGGTCGCGGATCGGATGCAGCGAAAGTCTGGGGGCGTCTTTATTTTCAAAGGTCCCGGAGTGAGGACCGCAGGTCTGGCAGGGTGTGGACAGGTGACTGTGCCCGGGGCTGTTCCCACGGATCGGCCCCTCGGAGAAGCGAGAACCACTAGAAGCGGGTGCGATTGCTCGGTGCCACCTGATTGTAAAGAAAGGGCCTGCAGCCACCTTTCCCCCGTCCCATGATCCTTAGCAAAGCGCTTCCCTTCCCCGCGGAGCGGGGCTCTCGCAGAAGGCTGGGGGGAGGGAAGGAAGCGAAGCGAAGCGAAGTCGGCAGCGCCCCGCGCCAGACATCTGGGTCGCTGACACTGTTGTTTCAGGAGCCGCTCGGGGGGGGGAGGGGGGGAAGGGGGGGGCCGGGCCCG